AATTCTTACAGTGTGTAAAAGCCTCCATAACAACAAGTTAAGAGTGTTACATCATGGGTAGTGACCCCTTCCTAACAAATACAGGAGTTAGGCAGGGATGTGTCTTAGCGCCTCTCCTATACCTATATACAACATATTCATCAGGAACAGCGCTCTCCATTATAGTGGATAGTAAACTGCAGGAGAGAGGATTGGGCATTAGGTATAGATACGACGGCACCGGCGCGGCGGTCTCTTCAACATAAAAGACTCAGGGCAAAAACACGTACAAAATTCATCACAGAACTTCAATACGCTGATGACTGCGCTCTAGTTGCAAGAAACGTTACAGCAATTATAAGAAATGCTGAACACATATATCTGGGCATACGAGGCTTTGTGCCTCAAGTTGAAAATCGATAAAACTAAAATTATGTGAAGTTCCCAGGAAGGTCACAACAATGCTATAAAAATCGGAGAAGAACTATTAGAATATGTAGCGGAATTCAATTACCTCGGCAGTTTGATTTCAGAAAAGGCCAATAACGACTCTGAAATTCAGCACAGGATTAGCAGCGCCTCAAAAGCATTCTGGAGATTATAAGACAGGGTTTTATACAATCATGATTGGAGTACAAAACCGAAACTTGCAGTGTACCGAGCAATAATAATCCCCACCATGTTGTATGGCAGCAAAACTTGGGTGCCGTACCGCCGGCACACAAATGCATTAAACAAGTTGCAACAGAGACATCTTAGAAAACTGTTCAGAATCAAATGGTACCACCATGTCTCAAACGTATCGGTCCTTGAAAAACTAGCTGCGAGAAACGAGTCCTGAAGTCATGATTACTAAATATTGCTAAAGATGGGCTGGTCATGTATACAGGATGCAAGAAAGTCGCCTACCAAAATCTCTTCTTTACGGTAAACTTGAAGACGGTAAGAGGAAACCGGGTGGACCACTGAAAAAGTTCAAGGATATTTTCCACGAAAGCAGCGCACAATAGAACGCAATGGAGACGAAATGTAAAGTCAGTTAGCAATGACAACCAAAAAGTAAAGAAGGAATGACAACCAAAAAGGCAACGAAGTAATGAGATTTTTGAATGTGCGGAAGAGAGACAATATTACGTATCGGACTTTTTAGTCATAGAAAAGCTCATGAAAGAAAACGCCTTGCGTAAACCATCTTACCTGATAGTCAAGCAGCGTTAAAAGCGATCAACTCAGTATCAATCAATTCGAAATTGGTCAAAGAATGCATAGAGAAACTGAATAAATTAGGCAAAGAAAACAAAATCCTCCTACTCTGAGTGCCTGCTCACTAAGGGATAGAAGGCAATGAAAAAGCAAATGATCTAGCTAGAAAAGGAGCAAACACTCCACTAACTGGACCAGAATCGTTCTGCTTTCCAAGTGGTAACCAACTCAAGAACTTGGAAGACTCCATCCGCAACCTGGAATGGGAATCTTGCAACCTCATCACTGAGTGCGCCGAGACGACAACCATTCGTACCATGAACTTTGGTACGACTGATATTGGAAATGGAGAACTACCCTCTATAAAACCGTCCCAGATACTCGCTTTTGTCAAAGCCTTGGGACTGTATGATGAGTTACAACTCAAGAAAGGGGGACACAATAGATCTGTAAGGTCGCAGTGATTAACCCCCCTCCCACTCATTCTAAATTCTAAAAAAACATCTTCTGATGCCTATAATAGTTCTAGGTCCATTGGGATACTCTGTTATAATTCTAACACCTTTGTTAGGTTCATAACAGGTTGTTTGCCGAGTCATGAAATTTTACAGAACAGTTTAATCCACCTATGCCAAGTAATTACTAATTTATTAGTCAACCTAATTTTATTCGGAATAAATAAACTCCGTCCCGTAGAAATGTAAATTACTCACGATGAACGGCGAACTTTTGAAGGTATAGAAAATATTCGTTCCGCAAAAACTGCGAATGGCGGTAATTAATTTTGCCAGTGAGAAAACTGCCGCCTCCGTCTATAAACCTGACGTCATTTTCAATTGTATTTTCATTTTCGTTTATGGAAGCGTGCACTTTCGTGCAATTAAATCGAGGCGAGAGAGGATCGGGTTTTTCTATTTTCAATTTCTGATAGATTTTGAATTGAAGGAAACCAGATATATGCTTCTTTTTGCGTCTGATTTGTAGTCAATTTTTTGGTTTTCTGTTTGACAATATTTGAAATAATAAATGTAGCGAGATTAAAAAAATATAAGAATAATATTAATAAAAGTTAAATTAAATCGTTCCCAAAAACGCTAAATAATTGCAAAATAAAACACTAATTCACCACAATAAACACTTTACTTTAAAACTGGACGCGCGTTTCGCTTACCATGTTAGCATCATCAGTAGATCATTAAAACTCTTGTTGGGATGCTGTTTTTGGAATCAAAATAGAAATTGAAAAAAATTACCTCTATACAAAAGTGCGTTTCGTTTGTTCGTTAAACGTCATCAATGAAAATATATCTAAACTTTAATTAATTTAAAATTTATGAAGCTTACTTATTGTTAACTTAAGATAACTCAGTAACCATATCAATTCGAAGTTGGTCAAAGAATGCCTAGAGAAGGTGAACAAATCAGGTAAAGAAAATAACGTCCTCCTGCTCTGGGTGTCAGCTTACCAAGGGATAGGGTTTCACTACTTGACTTGACTTGACTTGACTTGACTTGACTTGACTTGACTTGACTTGACTTGAAATCAAGTCAAGTTCAAGTCAAGTAGTTATAATTTCAAGAACTTGAAAAGTCAAGCAATTGCTCACAACTACTTGATTTATGTCAAGCTACTTGATTACTTCACTTTATATTAAGTTTCATTTGATATTTTTAATCAACCCCAAAATCCTGCAATAATAAACTTTATTGAAAAAAAACTAAATACTAATGTTAACAAGAATCGCGGATTAAAACAACAATAAAAAACAAATAAAGTAAGAGACGATTTATTTACGTAAATAGATAATAATAACGTAAATATAGATTATCGTTAAAGATCTAATAAAACTGATTTTTCTAAGACTATAACCATTGATGTTTTAAAACATCGATATTTTTCAATCGATGTTTTATCAACGTCCATAATATTAAGTGATATTATCATCGATGTTAGATGACCAATGTCCAATCACTATTATAGGATGCGCAGTGCTTCTATAATACTTGGTTTTTCAGGACAAGCCAAGTAGTTTCTAAAAACATCAAGCTACTTGACTTGATGAATCCCTACCAAGAGATATAAGACAATGAAAAAGAAATTATCTAGCTAGAAAAGGAGCGAACACTCCACTAACTGGACCGGGACCGTTCTGTTTTTTACGCGGAAACCAACTAAAAGCAGAACTGAAGAACTCGGGAGACTCCATCCGTAACCTGGAATGGGAGCTCTCCAATGGTCTAAGACATTCGAAAAAGTTCCTCAGATCTTACGACCGAGAAAAATCAAAGATTTTCCTTGATTTAAGTAAAAACAATCTTCGGACTGTCGCATGTCGCGGGGTTTCCAACAGGACACTCTCCAAAAAAATCCTTTATGGGTATTTCGCCAGTGCACTGCAAGAAAATCTACAAAAAAAAAATAGTTATTTTTTGTAAACGCTTCTGCGTTAAACCTAAACGGACGCTGCTGGTCAGAAGTTATGTTTACAGTTATACAAATTTGCCTAACAAAGAAAAAAATGCTTAACGTTTCGGAAAGTTATCTTTTTCCGTCGTCGGAAGCAAAAAAAATACAAAGAATAAAGAAAAAAACTATTTAAAATATTTAAATTCAACTATTCGAGAACACTTTACATTTTTAAAACAGATACGTCTACAAGAAACCGTTGACGTTCTGTTAAAATGACATTATATCAAGTTAAACCTCAAAAGTAACAATTACTACCTGAAAAAAAATTACTTTAACTTTACTTTTTTGTTAGGCAAATTTGTATAACTGTAAACATAACTTCTGACAAGCAGCGTCCGTTTAGGTTTAACGCAGAAGTGTTTACAAAAAATATCTATTTTATTTTGTAGATTTTATTGCAGTGCAGTGGCGAAATACCCATAAAGGTTTTTTTTGGAGAGATGAATCCGCCACATAGATATAGACATTTTTTTAACAGGACAGTGGCTCCTCAACGAACATCTCAGTAGGCTGAAGCTGAGAGATAACGGCGAATGCAGATTCTGTGGGGAGAATGGAGAAACAAGAAGTGTCTAGCCCCAGCAGCCAACTGTTGTGAACATACATTTAATATGGTTATATGTATATGTATATTCGACAAATTGTATAAAATATTATTTTTACCCTTATTCTACGGCTATGCCTAAAGAATTTAAGGTACGAAAAATACCATCAACATTATTATTCTTCTCAGAAAGATGGGTGATGCAAATAAACAGAACCATTACCTTAAGATGAAATTTGGAAGAAATAGTCATAAATAGTTGCATCATTTTTAGTTTTCCTTTGTAATTCGTTTACTTTCAGACGCGATGTCTGGTTTCTATTTACTTAAGAAATGGTCATCTTTGTCCCTTTGCAAACCTACCTGAAAATATTATTAAGAAATAGTAGGTACGCCCGTGGATTTTCGGAGAGGGCATTCTCATAAAAGCACGGTCACAGAAGGGACCGGGGACATTCATAAAAATTTTTCATAGACGTAATACTGCTAAATTTATATTTTGTATTAAAAGTTTAAAAATAAAAGTAATAACAACTTAGTAAGAATTTAATTATAAAAAAATAAAGAATAACATTCCCAACAAGTGGTGATACGAGTCAAATAGAGAACTACAACATTTGGTGGCAGCGACTACAAGATTGGTGACGACGGTGGTCCAATCCAGGATCACGACATTGGTGGCAGCGGTAAAAAAAACTACCAAGGTTTCCTGAAGGTGCGCCAGACGCAGCAGAAAACCTACCAGTTTTTGGAAGAAGATAGAGGCAACGGGCAGTTCTTTGAAGGTGCACCAAGAAGCAGCAAGCCCGACACGAGACGTAGACATTGGGGACACTGAAGGAGCGCCAGACGCAGCAGCAAGTCTCCAGGGAAGCTTTTGTTTTCACCAGATGATGACGGGGTAAGTCTTTCATTTGTTTACTGTATTGTGACGCTACTGTTTTTCTTCTGATTTTAGTTAGTTAGATTTAAGTTAAGACAATAATAATTCTGGGCTGCAAATAAAAAAAAAAAAAAATATTGCTTAAAATTCGTAAATATTTTTTTCTCTCTTCAAACTAAAAATACATCTATAAAAATAAATAATAATTCTTAAACTAAAGTAATAAATCATTAATAAAATATAATAATGGCAGGAGGTAAAGACGCAACTGATGTTCTGAATTTAATAAATTCATTTGATGGTCAGGGTGACGCAAATTCACCCAATTTTTCTTAAAAATTGTGATTCAATATTAAAATTGTCAAAGTGGATCAAAAAAAAAAGAATTACTAGTAGATTTAATTTTGGGTACTAAATTAAAAGGGAAGGCACAAGAGGTAACACAATATAAACAGTTTCAAAATTGGGAAGAACTAAAAGATTTCTTATTAGAGCACTTTTACTGATAAAACACCACCATCGCATTTTCTAACACAAATAATGAATATAAAGCAACATTTTAGGGAAACTGTAAAAAGAATATGCGATAGATTACAAATTCTCTTTAATAAATATAAAGAAACGTGTCACTTAAATTATGCAAATAACGAAGCTACTGTTTTAATAGAAAATTTAAACTCCATTTTAGTCAATACTTTTAGAAAAGGACTCAACGATGAAAAAATTCAAATGCGTATTATTGCCGAAAATACTACATATTTAGATAAAGCTTTATCATTAGCAATTGAAATGGAACTTGAGAATAATGACAGGTTTAAAAACTCGCATTTTAAAAATATAGGTTTTGTAGAGCGTGGAAATAGACAATTAAATAATCATTCTTCTAATAATTCCTGTTTATTTTGTTTTAAAAATAATCATTTAACATCACAGTGTAGACAGCTTAGGCAATACGAACAAAATAGTAACTCATATAATAGAAATGTACCTAGCAATAATCAGACACGCCCACCGCAAAATTTTAATAGCAATAATAATTTTTCAAATAGACAAGACGTAAATACAGTACAATATAATCAAGGACGTTTCACTAATCGAAACTACAACAATCAAAATTTTAATCAGAACAACGACGTGCGTAATTATAATCGTAATTATGGTAACAATTATAACAGTAATAATCCTCGTTCAAATTACAATAATAGATATTCTCAGAATCCAAGAAATTTTAATAACTCACAAGTTCCTCAACGGCAGCAAAATGTTTCGATACCTCAACAATCTCAAAATTTTTCTAATTACAATAATGAATCCAGTACTACCAATTTTAATAGTTCAAATAATAGATCACCACAACAAATTCAAACTATAAATTCTCAGTCGTTAATCAATTCAGCAGATAATTATTTTTCAGAACCGAGCACATCTCAAAATTTTTCGGGAAACGAGAGCGAAGCCTTGGTCGCGAGCAGCCGATTAAGCGCTTCTTAAAATTAGATAATAGCTGTTCTATGAATTACACACTACCTGAGCATAAAAATAAAATTAAAATTGAGCAAAACTTAATTGACATACCGCATAAATCAGTATTATTTTCCGATAGTTACCAACAATTAGAGATAATTAAAATCCCTTCTTTAGATATAAAAGATAAAGAATTACATCTTTTATTAGATACAGGGGCAGATATATCTTTATTGAAAGAATGTATCTTATTACAAAATAATCTAAAATTAAATAAAACTTGCATTATAGAATTAAAAGGTATAAGTAAAGAACCTGTATTTACTAAAGGTGTTTGTAACATCCCAATTAAATTAAACAATAACAAAGCAATAACTCATCCTTTTCACATTGTGCCAGATAGTATACCGATTAAAAGTGATGGACTATTAGGACGCGATTTTTTGCAAAAGTATAAAGCCAAAATAAATTACGAAGACGGAGTCATTAATTTTGAAGACAATTTTTTTAAAATTTTGCCGTCAGAAGCAACTACAATAATTCCCGCGAGATGTCAAATTATTGTACCTGCTCTAGCTAATTTATCTTCGTCCGAAGGCATAGTAGTTTCAAAACAATTATCCGAACATTTATATCTAGGGTCAAGCCTAACAAAAGTCCAGAACTATAAATGTTTAGTTAGCATATTAAATATTTCTAATGAAGCTCAAACTATCCATACACCTAGAGTGAATGTCGAACCTATTTCTTTTAATGAGTACGAATTTATAGAAACATATAATTATGACATTATCGATCGTTTTGCTAAAATAAGAAAAGAAATTAATCTAGACCAATTAAATGAAGAAGAAACTAATTCAGTATTAGATATTTGTAGAGATTTTAACGATATTTTTTACTTAGAAGGCGATAAACTAACAAGCACCAACACAATAAAACACACTATACCGACAGAAAGTAATAAAGGTCCTATTAACGTAAAACCTTATAGATTGCCTTTCAAACATAAAGAAATAATTAATGAACAAACTGAGCAAATGTTAAAAGACGGGGTAATTTCCGCTTCGGACAGTCCTTGGAATAGTCCTTTACTAGTTGTTCCTAAGAAAAGCGACCCATTATCACCTAAATTTAGAGTATGCGTTGATTTTCGAAAGTTAAATGAAATTACCATTGGAAACGCATATCCTCTACCTAATATAGCAGAAATTTTAGACCAGTTAGGAAAATCTCATTATTTTACTACCTTAGATCTTACTAGTGGATTTCATCAGGTAGAAATGGACGAAAAAGATAAAAATAAAACCGCTTTTAGCACTAATACAGGACATTACGTTTATAACAGAATGCCTTTCGGTTTAAAAGGAGCTCCCGCCACATTTCAAAGACTCATGAACACAGTTTTAAGCGGTCTTAATGGTATGAAATGCTTTATTTATTTAGATGATATAGTAATTTATGCAAACAACTTAAATGAACATAACGATAGATTAATTGAAGTTTTTCAAAGATTTAGACAACATAATTTAAAACTTCAACCTTCGAAGTGTCAGTTTTTACGAAAAGAATGTTTATACTTAGGTCACATTATTACAGAAAACGGCATTAAACCAGATCCATCAAAAATTCAATGTGTAACAAACTTTCCGCAACCTAAAAATCCTAAAGATATAAAATCTTTTTTAGGGCTTGTAGGATATTATAGGAAATTTATCAAAAATTTCGCTAAAATTGCTAAACCTTTAACCGAATTATTAAAAAAAGATTCTGTTTTTAATTGGGGTATAAAATGCGAAAATTCTTTCCAAATTCTTAAAGATAGTATAACTTTTCCACCTGTTCTCCAATACCCAGATTTTACCAAAGAATTTATTATAACAACAGATGCGAGTAATTTCGCAGTAGGAGCAATTTTATCGCAGGGTAAGGTTAATCATGATCGTCCAATAGCGTTTGCTAGTAGAACTCTAAATAAAGCAGAACAAAATTATTCAACTTCAGAAAAAGAGCTAACTGCAATCGTCTGGGCAGTAAAACATTTCCGTCCATATATTTTTGGCACAAGATTTAAAATTGTTACAGATCACAAACCCCTACTCTATATATTTAATATCAAAGACCCTGGTTCTCGTTTGACGCGTTTTAGAATAAAACTTGAAGAATATGACTATGAAATAATTTATAAAGCTGGAAAGATTAATACAAATGCTGATGCATTGAGTAGAATAGTTAGCACAACAAATGTCAATTCTATTATTACCAATTATGATAATTTTAAAACACATCTCGAAAGCCATATAATTATTAATTCCAAAGTCAAAGAAAAAAACACAAATCTGTTTGAAACACCACAACTTATACCTATAGTTTTATTTTTGCCAAAATTATTCAACAAAAACGACTTTAAAATTCTAGAAAAAAATAAACAAATTAATACATTTTTAGAACATTACGATAACACAAATCCTTTAGACATGCCGTCAGTTTTTCAGTATCAACAAAATAATTGTAATATATTTCTATTAACAGACAACGAAAATACATTCAGTGATATTAATTATGAAAATATTTGGTCTTGCTTACTAACTTTACGAAATATTATATCCAACGAAAAAACCGAACTATCATTTATAAAATATCATTACAACTCATTAGTCAAATGGGAAATCGTTCTTCCTATGATAAGATATATTTTTAAAGACCTCTATTCAGAAATTACAATATTTAACAACAGTCTTATCAACCCCTCAGATGCTGAAAAAGTTGTATTATTAAATGAAAATCACAATTGTCCATTAGGAGGTCATCAAGGGTCATCCCGCACATATAAAAAATTATCTCAATTATATACATGGAAAGGTATGAAAAAAGACATAAAAGAGTTTATAAAAAAATGTGAACTTTGTCAAAAAAATAAACAGTCTCGAAAAACAAAAATGCCTATGGTAATTACGACCACGGCATCAAAACCGTTCGAAAAATGTTTTTTAGATATAGTTGGACCACTACCAGAAACCGAAAATGGTCACAAATACATATTAACCTTTCAGGATGATTTAACAAAATATATAATTAATATACCTATGAGAAATCAAGAAGCTGTAACTGTAGCGCATCATTTTGTAACGAATATTATATGCATTTACGGAATACCTGACATGCTAGTCACAGATCAGGGGTCAAATTTTTTAAGTGATATTTTTAAAAGTACTTGCAAGTTTTTAAAGATAAAAAAGATCCAAACAACAAGTTATCACCCAGAGTCAAACGGAGCACTAGAACGCTCTCATAAAGTTCTAGAAGAATATTTAAGACACTTCATTAAGACATCTCAAACAGACTGGGATAATTGGATTCCCTATGCAACATTTACATATAATACTACACCTCACACTGCTACACAATTTTCTCCATTTGAACTTTTATTCGGACATATTCCTACATTACCAACATCAGTTAAACAACCACCTAAAGTCAATTATACTTATGATGATTTCATAAACAATCTTAAACAAAAAATGCAACATTCTAATCAATTAGCTAAAGAAAACTTATTAAAATGTAAAAACATATCAAAAAATAATTACGATAAAAACAGTTATACCAGAATATTCGAAATTGGTGACAAAGTGTTACTTTACGACGAATCAGTTCGACGTGGCAGAAGTAAAAAACTTTCCGCCTTATGGATTGGTCCATATACCATTAAAAAAAAATATCAGATGTAAATTATACAATTCAAAAAGGAAAAAATAAACAAACTATTCATGCAAATAGATTAAAATATTTTTATTATTAAAACTAAACATAATCAGTATATATAGATTATAAAAACTAGAATTAATAAATTTTAATTAGCTTATTATTAGTATATATATTTTGTTTTAGGGTTAATTTATTTATAATAATTACCAGTATCCTAGCAGTAGTCCACTCAGAATACAATATAACCACTTATGACTTGAACCCTGGAATACACTTTGAGCACCTGGGCGAACTAAGGTTTTTTAATAACAAATGGAAACTAGTAACTTTTGTAGAATTAGAAAATATTAGTAATAAGTTATTATCATTAAAGAATTACCGTAAGTATACTACAGATTTATGCAATAATGAGAATGCTCAATATCACTATTATATTTGTCAGTTATTTTTGAAAAGTTCTAAATACACTTTCGAAAAAATTGAAAAAGAACTAGAAGTCTTACACGAATTGATCGGTCATAGTCATTTATCAGAAAGTAGACAAAAACGAGGTTGGTTCAATATTGTAGGAAAAGCAACTAAAGTTTTATTCGGCGTTTTAGATGAAGAAGATGCTAAATACTATAATGATAAAATTTCACAAATGAATAAAGACGAAACTTCAGTCCTTCAACTTTTAAAAGAACAAACAAAAATTGTTCAATCAACAATAATTAATTTCAATAATACTATTGGAACTTTAGATTTTAACGAAAATTTATTAAAAAATAATATAAAAAAGATTAGCGATGAATTAAGCAAAGTCAAAGAAAATTTTCATTTTCTATATATAAAAACCGGCATAGAAGAACACGTCACTATTTTAAATATGATGCTAAATCAATTACAATTAGAAATCATGACGATTACGAATGCTATTTTAGTAGCAAGAAAGGGAGTTTTACACCCCTCAATATTAACGCCATTAAGGTTAATTAACGAATTAAAAGATGTGTCCGAATCTCTACCTCATGGATTAGAATTTCCTGTACCATTAGATCCGCTCAATGCAAATCTCATTCTAAATGTTATCGAGTTGCAAGTTTATTTCGAAAACAAACGATTAATATATATTATAAACATCCCTTTAATTGAAACAAATTTATTCTATATTTATAAAATATCACCCTTTCCAAAATTAATGTCAAATAACCAGTTTATATTAATTCAACCCTCATCTAAATATATAGCAATTGACGAAAGCAAACAGCAGTTTATTACACTGTCGGAAATAGAATTTAATACTTGTTTAAAAATTATAGAAAATAAATTTATTTGCAAGCAACAAAAACCAGTTTCTCTTGCTCATTTGGCAGATAATTGCGAAGTTAAATTATTGCAATTCACAAATATCATACCTGATATCTGTGACAAACGTATAATTCAGTCAGATAGAGCAATTTTTATTCAACTACAAACCAGTAACACTTGGTTATTGCAGTTCCTCATCCAGAAACTCTTACGATATCATGTAATAATAAAAAAAATCACGTAGATGTAATACTAAAAAATTGCGGTAGTGTCACTATAGGTAAACAATGTAAAGCTTATAGCGCATCATCAATGCTAATCCCTCATGGAAATACAGTCCAGTCCAATATTTCAAGTGATTTTATTCCACCATTCGACATTAGTGATAATTGTTGCGAAAGGATAAAGGAAGAAAAAATAAACATTAGTGAAATATTTCTCAACGAACATTATAGGAAATTAACAAAGCACATCCCCGAACTTAATGTAGCGAGCCATAAGCTAGAAGATATTGAAAAGTTAGGTGATGAAATTCTAAAAAGGAAACTTGTAAACAATTATACATTTCCAGCATCTGTAATTGCCTATATCTTAGCTCTTCTTGCTATTATTTTTATTATTTATAAATTGTATACAAAATGTACTAACAAGACAGCCTGTTGCGGAATTATTCCAAACTTATGCATTAGAGTTAATCAGTCTGTGGAACCATCTTCTAGAAATAGTGATAGATATGTTGCTCATTATAATCGTAATATTAGCCAAAACTCTGAAAATGTAGGTAACTATGAAAACTCCGAAGAAGAGAATGTTAATTTACAGGCGCCCTCGCGCAGACCCATTGGGTATGTACCATCAAGGCGACCATTAAAAGAAAAATAATTTCCGCATTTGATACATTTTTAAATCTGCAATAGTTATAAAAAAAAATGTTAGTTAAGTTAGAATGTAAGTTAGTTATAATTAGTAGTTAAGACTTGTATAATACTTTTATATATGTACTTTTATTCATTTCCATCTGAGTTATACTAATTAATTATATAAACATTTGTTTTGAGATTTCATATCACTTTCACCTCATGAAATCTCTCATTAAGGGGGGAGGTGTTGTGAACATACATTTAATATGGTTATATGTATATGTATATTCGACAAATTGTATAAAATATTATTTTTACCCTTATTCTACGGCTATGCCTAAAGAATTTAAGGTACGAAAAATACCATCAACATTATTATTCTTCTCAGAAAGATGGGTGATGCAAATAAACAGAACCATTACCTTAAGATGAAATTTGGAAGAAATAGTCATAAATAGTTGCATCATTTTTAGTTTTCCTTTGTAATTCGTTTACTTTCAGACGCGATGTCTGGTTTCTATTTACTTAAGAAATGGTCATGTTTGTCCCTTTGCAAACCTACCTGAAAATATTATTAAGAAATAGTAGGTACGCCCGTGGATTTTCGAGAGGGCATTCTCATAAAAGCACGGTCACAGAAGGGACCGGGGACATTCATAAAAATTTTTCATAGACGTAATACTGCTAAATTTATATTTTGTATTAAAAGTTTAAAAATAAAAAGTAATAACAACTTAGTAAGAATTTAATTATAAAAAAAATAAAGAATAACATTCCCAACAAGTGGTGATACGAGTCAAATAGAGAACTACAACATTTGGTGGCAGCGACTACAAGATTGGTGACGACGGTGGTCCAATCCAGGATCACGACACAACTATTAAGCTTGACCAATCAGGTTGGTTAGCGTGGTTATTTGGAGGGTGTTAATTAATTTGTGTTTTTGGTCAAAAACTCTAACGTGATTGGTCGGGCTTAATAGTTACCTGCTGGGGCTAGACACAAGTGGAGAAACCCCAGAACACCTTATCACTGAGTGCGCCGAGACGACGACCCTTCGTGCCATGAACTTTGGTACGGCTGATGGTGAGGATGGAGAGCTGGCAGCTGACCTCTGTGGAGCCGTGTCAGATACCGGCTTTTGTTAAAGTGCTGAGACTATATGATGAGTTATAACTCATTAAAACTGAAGAAAGGGGAACACACAATAGATCTGTAAGGTCGCGGTGATTAACCCCCCTCCTCAACATTCTACACTCATTGTTAAACATAATTTGTAAGATTGATATAACATACCACATTTTCGTCAACTATATGTAGGTTATTATCGTCTACTAGATTTTAACGCTTGCTGTGATAATAAGTATATTTTGGTAATCAGCTTCGGAAAAACATTTTTTTTCTGATAAATTAGACTAGGTGCATGGCGATTCATCAACAAAATTAGGAAAAGTAAAAGCCACAAAGTTACTATCTTTGTGATCAAGTTTCTTTTATTGAGATCCATCAGCCCTGAAAATAGTTGCACTTATTTAAGACTCACCCTGTATAGACTGAAAACAGATTAAATGAAAAAAAAATCATTTTTATACGCCTACGTTGCAAAACATCTTAATCACAAAGATTATTAAAATATTAAAAGATTGTCTAAATTTATACCTAAAAAAATTTTAACAAAGAAATAAAAACTTTGAGTTTGTTAAAGATTATTTTTTTACATTCTTAATTATAAAAGAATTAAAACTAACTTTTTAAGTATAATGTTACCCTAAAAAGATTAAAAATAAGTGCGAGTGGGCAGATTAATTTTCTACACGACAAAAAAGAAATTGAATTCATTATAAAAGGAATTCTCTGTCTTGAAGAACTTCGCCGATAATGAAATAATTGTCTTAGGCAACAGAGACTTTTAACAGCTTTTAGAACAGAAACTCGATAAAGAAGGTATTTTTTGATTAAGTGTTAAATGCCCGGAATAGATCTTAAATTTACTTGAAATTTTTCGGAATTACTTTTTTATTATAGGACAAAAGAACTAGTTTTATCGGAACAAGTAGACTAAGTACAAATAATTTCAAGAAAAGTATGTTACGCTAAGATAAAGCGAATTAAATATCTCAGGTAAGATTTCGACAGACGATGACTGTAGAAAAGCAGATGACATCCCATACCAATTATTTTAGTAAAAAAAGTTTCTAATATTTTTTAAGTTTACTATGGATGGGTTTAAATATAAATCCGTCATACGTCGTCTCTTTATTTCAAAAATGACAGATCATATTTCAATTTTATTGGTTTGACGGAACGATGAGCGACAAACGGACGCCGATGCGTATGAAGTGTGAACTCGCCTTTAGATTTTTGAGGCTTGTCAAAGCCTTGCCAAATTATAGGTTATAATTTTGTGTCAACTTATGTCAAATATCTGATTTTTGGAAGATGATGCATTTTGATTCGTGTTGTTATGTGTGTTTTGTGTCTTTTGAAGTCAAGTGGAGGAAAAATCGAAGGAAAATTAACTGTAGACCCAGAGCACAGTTTATAGTTAATACTCGCTGCCCAGGCAGAAAGTCTTATACACCAATCAAGTTAACATCAATAAAGTTTGTATACCATCTCGTCGTAGATAAGTGCATCTCGTATATGGACAAGGATCGTACTAAACGTATACAAAAAACTGGAGTAGCTATAAAATATCGACATCACACGTTAGGTAAATAATGGATTTTTTAGTACTGCAGAAAAATAATGTCAAAAGGTACTGGCTTAAAAAAAATTAAGATTAAAGTTTATTAATCAACCTTTAAGGTATAAAACTTGGTAAGTGTAATAAAATTGTTTTATTCATGTTGTTTTATTTATTCTTGTGGAATATTACAAATTTGTATTTGTACATAAGGTATATTGATAAATATAACAATAAATGCGGGAATTTTCTTGAAACTTGAAAGTAAGAAATAGTTCTTTTTTATATTTTTTGGTATGTGGTGTTTTGGTCTTGTTTATTTTGTATTAACACATACCGTTTTTTTAAATAAAGTAACTGGATTACATTTATTCAGTTTTATACAGTTTTTTTTCACAATATTTTGAAGTAATCACTTATCAGTCAAATTTTAAATATATTAATTTTCTAATGCGTTCCAGTTGTACCAACTTATTTCTTTGTAAAATAAAATAAACTACTTTGAAATTAAAATGACAGACACATCTATCACTGTCAAGGATCTTGTCGTTGGATAGACTATAGTTAAAAATTTTGTAACATACACAAAACTGAGTTTTTAATACACTTTTAGAGAATCTTTAGCAAAATATAAACACTTATTTACTACAATACACCATCTTACTTTTAAAACCGAACACTAACAATGTTACTATTATCAGCAAATGATTATAATTAAACTAATATCTACAACTTGAGCGTTTATATAGAGGCTCGGTTAGTACTGATCATGCGTAACAAAATTAGCCAAGCGAGTCAAAATGAAGCATGCATAACAATTAATTACCGAAACTATTTTGACGCTCTCATATGTATCTAATTGCTCGTAATTTGAGACTTAGATTAATTTTAAAATATTAACATCTATACAATGACCTTTATCAAAAGTATGTACAGCAACGCAGTTTATATGAACAATTTCAATACACCATTTTACTTTTAAAACTGAATACTAACCATGTTACTATTATCAGCAAATTATTATAACTAAACTAATATCTACAACTTGAGCGTTTATATAGGGGCTCGGTTTGTACTGATCATGCGTAACAAAATTAGCCAAGCGAGTCAAAATGAAGCATGCATAACAATTAATTACCGAGACTATTTTGACGCTCTCATATGTATCTAATTGCTCGTAATTTGAGACTTAGATTAATTTTAAAATATTAACATCTATACAATGACCTTTATCAAAAGTATGTTCAGCAACGCAAGTTTTTTTCGCTCTATCATATCTTATCTAAGCCCAATATTCTTGAAATCAACTTAATATTGATCTTCTAGTTTGTTGAGTCCAGTGTTAAAAGTGAATTGTTTTAGCGCATTCATGATTTTATTGTGCTATTGTAACATTAAAGGTTCCAACCTAAGTTGGGGGGTTGTGATGACGTTAGTTTAGAAAAAATCGAAATAAAAATGACTTCTAGACCTGGTATCTCCCAAACTAAGCATTTTAGGATATATATTGCCTAATATGCTGCCAAAGTTCCCCGATATAATTTGTACCACCCTGTATAACGAAGCCTTAATGCAAAACTACTGATAACTTTCATAGTTAATACTAAAATTGATTTACTTACGCCAGGCCACCCTTTCGCCAGGAAACCGTCGTGTTTGGTCCAATTTTCGCTATTTACATAGAACATGCCCGCGCTCATGATAAACACCCACACGGAGAAGTTAATTATATTTAGAATATTGTTGAAGATGAGGGATTTCTTGACGCCAGCTGCCAGCACCAGTGTCATCAGGATGGTAATCACAAAGGCCAGATAATCTGGATCCCTTCCTGAAAAGGAATTAAAAAGTTTTATATTAATGACATATAGAGACAGCAAACGAAAAGTGAATGTCGAAATTTGTTTGAAACTCAAAGCACACTTGCTTCGTTCTATTGCTTTTTCTTATAAACTTATCCTGGTTAAAAAAAGACAGGACGCTGTCGCATCAAGTAAATGAAATGGCCGATAAAAAAGCTTTATGTTGGTAGTCATGGCAACTGTTGCTAGATGTAATAAGATTTTTCTCTGCAGATCTGATATTTGTCATTTTCGATTTTTAGCCGATCATACCAATAGGTATGGTAGGCTATTAAGATCGGCAAATTTTTTTTTTTAATTTCATTCAAAATTAGTTATTTGGGTCATAAATGACCTAAATATAAAATATTTTCATGGTGTCTGTCTGTCCGTCTGTAACACGATAACTCAAAAACCGCTAAACCGATTTTAACCAAATTTGGTTCAAAAATACTGTGGCCCCCGAGAATCAGGCCATTAGATTTCTTTGGGGGGGGGGTTAGGTTAGGGGTTAGGTTAAATTTTAAAAAATCGTAACTCCAAAATTACAGTAGCTAGCGAAACGCGGTTTTCAATTTAAGATTGGGAATAATATTTGCAACAAAATTTGTAATAACATAAAAATCAGTCAAAGTCCCAGTTTTTGAGATAAAAAAAATTGGAAAAATTCCTTTACTTTGAAATTAAAAGAACTGCCTACCAACTTTTTATTAACATATTTTAGTATGGGCGGCTATACGTGCCTCCCGGCGCCAATTTTTTTTTCTAGTCTAACATTTGTCATTATTAATTTTACCCTTTGAATTTTCTTGGACAAATTTGAAAATAAATCTGCGTTTTATTCAGTTAAAACTACGATTTTCATTGCAATAAAAAAGGGCAAGTAAGAAGTAACTGCAATTAAGATTTGACCAACACAATAAAGTTCCTTTTTATAAAATTCTTTACTTTTGAAATTATAAAAATAAAATATACAAAGAATGTAACGGGTTGAAAAATAATCAAAACAATTTAAAAAAAGAACTAAATTTAGGTAAAAAAACAAAGCTATGAACATATCTATTAGAAAAAATAGTATACAAGGCCAACAAAAGAGATTATTATTAGTGTGTCTTACAACCACATAACCAGTGTTCACTTTTTTAAATATTTTCACTAATATGACAAATATACGATTTTAATTTGGTATTAATATTCAAAATATGCATGGAGGTCCTTCTTCAATAGTTGATCATCATCATTGAGATGTGGTGCTATCGGCGCATGTCAAATGAGACTGTACTATATCGCATCAACAAGGAGTTTCTGGTGAATGTCAAACGCAGAAAACTGGAATACTTCGGACACTTCATGCCAGAACGAGAAATACCGCCTACTCCAACTCATACTGCAGGGGAAAATAGAAGGCAGAAGATCAACGGGACGCAGACGAATATCGTGGCTGTGAAATCTACGGACATGGACCGGAATGACGTCAACAGCTTTGTTCAGAACGGCAGTGAACAAAGTAATATAATATGGATCAATGTGATAGTCAACATCCTAAGAGGATAGGCCCTTTAAGAAGAAGATAGGAACATGTATAGTTAAAAAATAACGAATTGAAAGTCCTTTTTATCAGTGAAATAAAGAAAGTGGATTTCCATTTGAAAAAAAAAATATTTATGATAATTTTTTAATCGCTCAATTCCATTACAGCTACCGTCATTATTATATGACATTTGAACAATTTAATTTTTGAAATGGGTAGCCACGTGTCTTCTCTTTATGTCACAGTGGCTGTGGTTAACACCAAGGGGGTGACAGTAAACCGGAAAATTGGAAACAGTTCTGGCGCGGTCCTACCCAGGCAGAAAGCATGGCCTTCTAGACTGTCCTAGACAAAAATCTGAATATTTCTATATGATTTCTGATGGATTTCTGTCAATTTCTGTTACGGAACATTTTTATGCACGTCGGCGTCCTCTTCTTTTGTCTGTGTGTCAGCTATCTGTGAACTCCCGAGGCCTTTGGCAAGGTCGGGCGCCATTTTAATTTTTTCCGTTTTAGATTTGATTGGGAGTTTGTTTGATATGATGTGATATTTCGGGTGAAATTTATAAGTACAAAGATGTTTTTTGATATAAAGTTCCTTGTTAACACTTTAATAAAGTATATATGATATTAATTACATGAAGAAAATGCTGAAATCGACGTTTTTGCATGTAGTAGGTATGGGCCATATTATATGTAAAAATAGGTAATATATGTATTAACTGTTTTTATATTTTCTTAGCTTCAGATCCAAGGATCTTGGGATATTCTTTACCAAGGATTTTTCCGTATCTCTACTTTAAAGACGGATCGGTGATTTTGAGCAATTGAAAGCAAGTTACACAAGGTAAATTATGATTATTGAACTATTATTAGCCTAAAGCCTACATTAATTATCTACAAGATGAACAGAAATGCGTAATTACATATCACATAGGTACCTATTATATATATTCATAGCAATAATGCAATGTATGTAGATTATTTTTTTTGTAGATTATTTTTAAAATACAAATGAGGTATTAGATGTATATGTATCATATTTTTTATTCATTTTATTTTCATTCAAGTCCTGTTTGATTTAATTCACAAAAGTCTTATGTACCTATATTATGTTTTTTTACATATTTTTTTTTTTTGATTCCAGGTTTTGCGTGGGTTCCTGTTGTCTTTTTCCTGATTCCAGTTAGTTTTACGCCTGTGAAGCTGTGAAAACATTTATTTATCTTCAAGTTTCTGTAAGTCAGTGCACTGTTAGTTTACTAATTCATTTTAACACAGCATCTCTGATGTTATTTAAATATTTTAATATTGATACAGTAGTTTATGTGTTTATAGCTCTTTAATTGTGTTGATTTGCATATTTACATTGTTCTAAATTCCAAATAAATATTTTTGAGTAATTTTGTTGTATTATTTACTACTAGAAAGAGTAAAAAGTATATTAACCCTCATTTAAACCTCCTAAACAGCCCGCCATTAAAAATCGGAAACGGAAATAAATTTCATAAAATTGAAATTGTCATGTCTATGTCATGTCAAATCATGTCAAATGTCCCAGCCGCCATATCTGAAAATTAGTTACCCAGGCAGCCACGCTGTTTCCATAATTTAACATTGACTTGACACTTCTTCTTGTATTTATTATTTTATGGTTATCACTAAATTTGACTTTTACAGCGCTTTCAGATAGAGCGAACCGTCCGCGACTTCGAGCAAGCACCATGAGTTTATATGAACAATTTCACATGGGCGCGTAGGCTCCGCCCGACGGCTCTCTTGAAAAAACACGACGGACGGTCCGCTCCATCTGAAAGCGCTGTAAGGCTATACAAATTTTTTTGTCAGGTAGTTTTTTTCGTCCAAAAATTTTAAATATTTTTTTTTCTCAAAAACGGTAAATGTTAGGTATAGAGTGTTTAACATCAATATTCTTAGAATTTCACAGATATTTTAAGTATGTAATAGAATATGGGAGCACCCATTTAAAATAAGAAAGTTGCTGTCAACTTCCGGTATTTCGGAAAGTGCCGCCATATTGAAAATATTTTTAACCGATAGATCTCGTTGTAAAACAATGATGTGCAAAAAATCTCCGATCTAGATATTGTGGTTCTCTAGAAACTTCTAATGAACTTTCAGCCTGGGACACTCTCTATATCGAGCAGCAATGGGTACCCTAGTTGAATTTGGCACTTAAAGTGAGTTTAATAATATATTTTTGTACTTTTGTGCTTAGGAGGGAGAGTGCTTTACTTTTATGCCTATTGGTGTCAAAATGACCATTTTATATTGCCAATCACGTCGTAACATTAATACTTTTGTGATGTTTTAAACAAAATATACAATTTTAATTTTGTAATATAAAAAAACAATATACCATAATAATTCAAATATGTTAATTTTAGACTGATGTATTCGGAATTTCTGGCGAAACAAAGAGGAATATCAAAATAAAATAAGGGTAGTTGGTCGATACCAAATTCCTGATTGATAACCGTAAATCTATTTTTAATGCGTATTTTGACACCGTCGCTTGCGGTATCGCTGAATAATTAACACTTTGTCGAGAACTTTTCTGCGTAAATAATGAACGAATTTAAGGGCATCTCCAAAACAATATATCAGAATATCATAATAACAGGCTTAATTGATCCTGGTGTATAAAAAATCTTGTACATTAGTTACTTACGATATTTTATGTTAAAGAATCATCCGTTATATTTTAATCTTCTGGATGATTAACAACAACTAAAATATACAGGGTGTTTTGAAAAAACATGTGGCATCTCTCGTGGGGAGATTGTTTTCTTAAAAATAAGATTCCTTTTTTATAATAATATCAACATAGGTCCGATTCTGCTTTGTTTTGTAGCTACAGGATGTTAAAATCTTCATTGTTTTCCATTTATTATAATTTCATTCCAAGTGTTTTTAGCGATTCGAAAAAAAATTGAGGGTAAAAGTTACTATCAGCGATATATTTTAATGCTAAAAAAGTGTCGACAGATTCACCAGAGACGTGCTTTTATGGGTTATCACTGGAATATTTATCTAAAAAACATATGTGCGCCACTGGCCTTTTTCTCTTGTTAGCAAAATAGACATGTTCACTAATATCTAATTTCAATGAATTTCGATAGCTACATATGAGTAAAAAAACATGGCACTCAAAATTTTTCTTAAAAACTATAATTTTCTCACATAAACGCAAAACAAAAACGTGCCCGGCTTGAGGCTACCTGTTTTTGACGTCACTGCTTTGATCGATCGATGGCGTCCGTACGATCGTGCACTTGCCGCATTGTTTTTGCAGACGTTTGCGAGGGTGTATTGTTTATTTTCATTGTTTTGGTGTTCTGAAGAAGTAAAATGAGTTCAAAAAAGTGGTGTTTTGTCCCTAGGTGTATTAATACTTCAAAAAATAATCCACAGAAGTTTAAATCGTTACTTTGCG